TGTGTCTCAATCAATCACATTGATTTTGTGATACCTCCAAGGTCGGGACTTAAGTTTGCTTAATGCCCATAAATCACCATTAGGTTGTGTTTTGTCAGGCTTCAAGGCTCCCTTTCAAATGTGTGGATCCCATTTCCATGAAATAAGCTGAACTGAATAATAACCATCATATACTTATTGTCTCATGTATCACTTTTGCCTTTTTTACCACCATCACCCAAATATCAAGGCGCACATATCCAGTCACAAATAGGTATTTCTCCAACAGTGTTAGGATTTTTGTGTTGATTGTTGGTCAACCGAGGCCCTGGGAAGGGGGGCTCTTACCTCTGATATCTTCTGGAACTGGATGTTGGCCTGGCTGCACTTCTCTGCTGTCTCCAGGGCCTCTTTGTAGTTGTCCACAAAGGCCTTATACACACCCAGCTGGCTGGCCTGCAACAGGAAACACCACACATGGGGCAAACATCAGCAGGGTGAAGAACGCAACAATCACACAGTAAACAGAGAGAGGAACATTTCCTTTTTTTTGGTACTGTTTAGTATGAAGAGGACATTACTGTGCAGTAGCGTAGGTATTGTTTAGTATCAAGGGAACATTACTGTACAGTATATATATATATATATATATATATATATATATATATATATATATATATATATATATATGAAAAGAACAATGCTGTACAGTATAGCATCATCATGATTTTTCCAATGAAATCAGCAGACACTGAAAAAAGTTAATTTGGAATTAAGTGTGACACTTTGTTGGATAGCAGATTCATAATGTCCCAAAACGATTTCTTATAGGTGCCAGATAGCAAAGCTTCAATAAAACTAAAACAGCTCTGAATTACTTTGGAATAATTGCACCCGTGACAACAAAAGGCATTAAAGGCAGAAATAGTGAACACACACACACACACACACACACACACACACACACACACACACACACACACACACACACACACACACACACACACACACACACACACACACTTTACTGCTTTGACTAATACAGTTGTGTTCTGGGTTTCCCACCTGTTAAGAAACCCATCGGGTTACATTGGAGCAAGTGCGTGGGGCAGTTGAGCAGAGTTTGCAACCAACAGAAAACTATCACTCTGGAAACTCATTTTTTAGCCGGAAATAGCCGACTTCTTTCACAGCAATGTTCTCACTTTGTGAGACCAAAACTGGATCATTTTCCACTGAACAAAATGATTTGGGTGTTTACTTGCCCTTTAATGGTAAAAATAGCACCCACGCAGTACAGCAGTATTAAAAGTACTACTTAGAGCAGCACTCTGATAAATACAATAAAGTTAGCTCAACATGCTGACCAAAATATGAACAAAACAAGCTGGTTTGCAGGGTTTGAGGTATTTCAGTTTTTGTGAAAGCGTCATACGGGTTAGTTAGTAATTGTCGAGTATACAGTGCTGTGGCTTTCTGCCCTTTATTGGAACAGAAAAACAGTGAAAAAAAACAGAGAAAAATAAAATTAAAAAATAAGTCAATATACAAAATTGTCAACTATGTTATTTCCCTATAAATCCAATAGCAATAGACCAATAGCAGTTAGCTGAGCTAACGTGAGACTACGATAACAGTATACAGTAAGTCAACTGTATTACTCATACTAAATCCTAAATGGCTTCAATTGGTTTAACCAGGAATGGGTTTATTGTCATCACTGTACAAATCAAAGTGAATCTTTCATATATTCTCTCATGTTTTAAAGCTCATCATCAACACTATCAAGGTGTTTAAATCGGCTTGTGAATGCTGACCCGAAACGACTACTACTACTATTACTGCTACTGTTGACCTCGGGGGCTGGCCTCTTGTCTGCCGTGACGGGACAGCAGGAGGGAGCAGACCGGATGATTGAATCACCATCTGTGCCTGTAGTCCTACATGTTTAGTCGCCACCATACACACACACACACACACACACACACACACACACACACACACACACACACACACACACACACACACACACACACACACACACACACACACACACACACACACACACACAAACACTATGGACACCAACGCAGCACAGATGGGAGTTGATGACTTTACTAATGGGTGTCACTGGGTGGTGGGACTCCTGTTGTTGGTATCAAACAGGGAGAGGGAAAACACAGACAGAGACAGAGACAGACACAGAGAGAGAGAGAGAGAGAGAGAGAGAGAGAGACAGAGAGAGAGAGAGAGAGACAAGGAGAGAGAAAGAGAGACATGCCTTTTGTGTTTATGTTATGTGTTTATGTCATTTATGTGATTGTGGGATCATGTGATGCTAAACACATGTATAGCATCCTCCCAAGTCAGTAACTGGCATATCGAATATTTTACCATGTAAATAAATCCAGCTCCTAGCTGCGGTCGGTGATACAGTGTATGAATTCAACACCACCGCTGTCTGGGTGCCCAGGCCTTCGTGAACACTGGCCCAAGAAACAGTGAATCATAGCGCTATGGGAGATGTATTTTTAGCACTTTAATGTGTCTCTTTGTGTCTGCCGTGGCTCTCGGCGTTCAGATTTATAATGTGACCAGATGGGGAGCTTTTGTTTTCACATTTGGTAATACGTCACTTTTTGAAAATTAGTCAAGCAAGAGTAACCGATCATCCAATGATGTGTTGAACAGAGTACAGAGAATTGGGTGTTGAACGGGCAGCTAGTCCGCCCCTTTAAACTTGTGTGTCAAACGTGTGTGTCTGTGTTTGTGTGTGTATGACCTACAGTAGAAGGTACTTATCTAGAGTCAGTGTATTACCTACAGTATGAGGTACTTATCTAGAGTCAGTGTATTACCTTATTAGACTCTAGATAAGTACCTCATACTGTAGGTAATACACTGACTCTAGATAAGTACCTCCTACTGTAGGATAAGTACCTTCTACTGTAGTAATACACTGACTCTAGATAAGTACCTCATACTGTAGGTAATACACTGAATCTAGATAAGTACCTTCTACTGTAGTAATACACTGACTCTAGATAAGTACCTTCTACTGTAGTAATACACTGACTCTAGATAAGTACCTTCTACTGTAGTAATACACTGACTCTAGATAAGTACCTTCTACTGTAGGTAATACACTGACTCTAGATAAGTACCTTCTACTGTAGGTAATACACTGACTCTAGATAAGTACCTTCTACTGTAGTAATACATTGACTCTAGATAAGTACCTTCTACTGTAGTAATACACTGACTCTAGATAAGTACCTCCTACTGTAGTAATACACTGACTCTAGATAAGTACCTTCTACTGTAGTAATACACTGACTCTAGATAAGTACCTTCTACTGTAGTAATACACTGCTAGATAAGTACCTCCTACTGTAGGTAATACACTGACTCTAGATAAGTACCTTCTACTGTAGGTAATACACCGACTCTAGATAAGTACCTCATACTGTAGTAATACACTGACTCTAGATAAGTACCTTCTACTGTAGTAATACACTGACTCTAGATAAGTACCTTCTACTGTAGTAATACACTGACTCTAGATAAGTACCTCATACTGTAGGTAATACACTGACTCTAGATACTGTAGTAATACACTGACTCTAGATAAGTACCTTCTACTGTAGGTAATACACTGACTCTAGATAAGTACCTCATACTGTAGGTAATACACTGACTCTAGATAAGTACCTTCTACTGTAGGTAATACACTGACTCTAGATAAGTACCTTCTACTGTAGTAATACACTGACTCTAGATAAGTACCTCCTACTGTAGGTAATACACTGACTCTAGATAAGTACCTTCTACTGTAGTAATACACTGACTCTAGATAAGTACCTTCTACTGTAGTAATACACTGACTCTAGATAAGTACCTTCTACTGTAGTAATACACTGACTCTAGATAAGTACCTTCTACTGTAGGTAATACACTGACTCTAGATAAGTACCTTCTACTGTAGTAATACACTGATCTCGAACCTATCGGCTATCGGTCTGACTTCGCTCTAGCCTCTGGGAGCGTGGGCCAATTTTCCTGGGGTTACGGTGTAGCCGGCGGATATCCGAATAACGAATTCCTCGTCCGTGCGTCGGTCATTGTTTACAGTCCGATTAGCAACTTGAGACGAGTTTAGTTTAGTTAAACATAACACACGCGCTTGAGAAGGAGCAGATCGGTTTGCAATGTGTTTTCATTCACTCCTCAGTAAAAACATGGTCCAAATCCTCCATGGCGGCAGCTCAGTGGCTCGGTACACACTAGTGTGCCAACGTGTAGGGAACGTGCCGCGGAGCGACGCGGGTTCGATTCCTGCATGTGGTCACATGACGCATGTCTTTAAACCTACTGTACCTCCTTGTCTATATAGACACAAAAGCCCATGGAAAAAATACATACGATACGTGCACTTGTATGTAAATCTATGTATGCGCGCCTGCATTAATAAATGTAATGTATATATATTAAATTATATAAAGTATATATAATGCAGGCACGCATACAGAGATTTACATACAAGCGCGCGTATCCATCCAAAAACAATCCCCCTTGATTAGGAAGGGCTTGCGTACGGCAGCGGTCTCTCGCAGTCGAGAGCAACAACTCCCCTAAGAGACAGCCTGGAGCCTCTGTAATACTATCAGGCCGCAAGCCCACTCGGATAATTACACCCAACAGTAAGGTCTCTAATATTACGGTCTGCCAAGAAAACTACAAGACACGGCAATGATACACTACACACACACACACACACGTAAACCATACCGTACAGCTGGTCAAACCACAGCTTGTACAGTTCTGACTGGTGGTTCTTTCTTTTCCTCTCTGTTCTCCAACACAATATGGAGTAGGAGGCTGAGCTGGAATAAAGCACTCACTATTTAAAATACCTATTTGGACATCGGACTGGAAGGACAGTGTAGTAGTGGCTAGAGTAAACTCCAGTTGAGAGGTTCTGGGTTCAAACCCTGCATGTCCGCAGTCTATCTGTATGTGCAGGTCCTGACTCGCTCGACTGGTAAGAGCGTGGCATTAACGTTGCCAGGGTTAGGGGTTCGGTTCCCACCGGGACCACCCGTGCTAAAAACGTATGCACTCGTTGTATTGTAAGACGCTTTGGGTAAAAGCGTCCACCGAATGGAGTATATTAATATTATAAGCATCCTTGAGCACGATGCCCTAACCCCTACCTGTGCATTATTGAGCTGTATTTTCGTTCACTGAATTTGAAGTTGTTATTCAGTTGTTATGGATCATAAAAGTGTCTACTCTATGACCACGTGGTTCAATCTCAACTCTCAAAATGTTCTTCAACGAGCACCAAAATGTGTGTTTCAAGCACACGTCTGGTAGCTGTGCTTAATAGAAACCAAATTATTTCATTGTAATAAAAAAAAAAATGCACTTGGGCAATTCACTTGGGCATACACAGACACACACACCCATATGTATATATATGAGGTTGACCCCTCACCAGCTTCTGGAAGAGGTGTCCCACGGTGACCTTCTCGTCCCACTGCTGGATGTTGGGGTAGAGGGCGTCGTAGAACTCCTTGTGGATCACAAAGATGTCCTGGATCTTGTAGAAGATGGTCTCCACCTGCTGGATGGTGAGCACCGGCTGGGAGGAGGTGGTAGCTGTGGCCTTCAGGGGACGCATTGGCTGGGGGGGGGGGGGGGAGTAGAAAGGAAATAGAGAGGAGGAGGAGGAGGAAGAGGAAGAGGAAGAGGAAGAAGAAGAAGAAGACACAGAGAGAGAGAGAGAGAGAGCAAATGGGATGTTAGAAAAAGATTGTGACCCCCAAAATAATTAACAAAGGCCAAGGCTGAACTCACTTTTTGATATAAATATAATATTATTTATTATTATTAAGGGGTAAGTCTGTGGAATCCATTTCACACAAAGTCTCAACCACTACCAAAGTACACTTGAACTTGCTCTGGTTCATCTTTAACTAATGAAAATAAAAATGGCTGCCATCAAGACACAAGGTAGAGTGGATTTTGAAGAGGAAAGACCTAACAGCAAACTTGAAAACCATCACGACAGGATGTGTCACAATGGTGTGAATTCAGACATAGCGTGCACACAGACACAGTACAGCGAGCTATTGGCATCAGGAAGGAAATGTTATCAGGTTGACCCCTCACCGCTTACCTAACCGACCATCGTGTGTGTGTGTGTGTGTGTGTGTGCGTGTGTGTGTCGTGTTAAGTCTCACCACTAGAAGGGCCTCCAGCTGGTTGATGTAGATCTCCTCGCTGGCCAGGAAGCCAGAGAGCACCAGCTTCTTCATCTCCAGGCCCTTCTCAGTGTCCCCCTGCAGAAACACAACATGGAGATCAGCACAATACCATTAAAGTCTGTTAATGCAGAGAGGGGGAGACAGAGACGGAGGGGGGGGGGGGGGGGGGGGGGGGGGAGAGAGAGAGAGAGAGAGAGTGGGGTGTTATGAAAATATTGACCTCCTTATTTCAAGCACCCAAATGAACATCATGACTAAAATCGTTCAGTTGAACTGCCTGACGTTGTGAGTGAGTAAAATAAGACGCAAGCGGAAAAATATTGAACTTTTTTCCTGCAAACACACACACAGACCAAGCAGTCAGTCAGAACGCAGGACGCATAAGGTCTAGCAAATATCTGAAAATAGCCGCGAGCGCTGAGTCAGGGGCGCGCGTTTATTCAGCAGGTGTCGAAGTTTGTTGAGTTGGTCAAGGCTGACTGGCTAACCTGATGTGCTCATGGTTCGCGGCGGCGGGCTTAGCCTCAGCTTTCAGAAAACACGCACCGATAATACCAACAACCTCCCAATCCCGTACATAATACCATATTGAAATAATATAATGTGGGACTGTCACATGCAGCAAGCGTCTTTGTTAAAATCCACCTGTGTGTATGTGATGAAATGTGTGTGTAATATAACTATCCACCTTTGGACACAATGAAATGGTTACACAGTGGACCAACCTCTTAGAATACATATTGTATAACACAGGTTGGCAGTTGGCTATTCCTTGGGGTTAACTGAACCACAAGTCACAGCATTATGATTTGTATTAATAATAGGAATAATCATGGCGGTGCATAATACAGGGTGAGATCGTGGCCTTGTCGCGCACTGCAGAAATGGTGTATGCGCCCATGTAGGTTGAATGATTAACACAACCCAACCAAGATCCTTCCTGATATCACGATAAGAAACATTTTAAATGTTATTAGTGAGATATTAGTGAGAGTAAGTGAGTGAATGAGTGAGAGTCCTTGACTTGGACACTTCTGTCCACTGAGACGATAATTATACATTTAAACACGTACATGTCACGTTATAATAAAGGTATTTAAGTGTAACAAACAATAATTAAAGCAAACACTTTAACACAATAGATGAATAGGGTCAAATGTCAACAACATAGTACTATCGTTTTTCGGTTTATTACCGTTGTTACTTCCTACATTATAGAAAGGTCAAATAACGGCCAAGGAAGTCTACAGTAAGCGGTGGTTTTGCTGACGTGCAAATAGAATAATTACTATCAGCAAGACTAATTCAATGTGTGTGTGTGTGTGTGTCTGTGTGTGTGTGTGTGTCTGTGTGTGTGTGTGATTGCGTGTGTGTGTGCCTGTGCGTGTCATGTCGGGGCCACGTAGAGAGTATCCGGGCAGCAGATATCTCACAGTGTGCTGAGAAACAGACAGGAAAAGCAGAAGAGGAAAAAAGCCGTTTTCTTCCCACAGTGGGAATGTGTGTGTGCGCAGTATTACAAAAGAGACTCTGTGTAGCAACGTGCGGACGCCTTAGCATCGGCTAACGGCGGCGGACCGGTTCGCCATGGCAACCGGCTGTATACGACTCCCCCCCCCCCCCCCCCCCCCCCCGTTTTAGTCGGCGTTGCTTACAACAAAAGCACACCGCGAGTCCGGTACATGAAGTATGTGTGTGTGTGTGTGTGTGTGTGTGTCCTTCGTGACTCAGTGTGTGTGATAAAAGCAGTCCAAGAACGGCATTGCCCTGCGTTATCATCCCCACCTTATCTCCAGCAATCGGCGCACACGCACACACACGCACGCACATGCGCACACACACACAGTCACGTCAGTGGGGGGAATAGCTGTTATTCCTCAACCTTCAAGTATGCTTCAAACACACTTTTACTGCTGCAATTTATTGTGACCGTGCTTACGCACCGCCTGGTTGTCATCGCAAGAAAACACACTTGCACACACTTGCACACACAGTGAGGTCACACCATGCGCACAGACACCAAGAACACTTCCCACTTCACTATATTTAGCTAAGTGTTCTGGTCTATGAGAACGTCATATGTGTGTGTGTGTGTGTGTGTGTGTGTGTTCATCTGCGTGCAACACACACACACACACACACACACACACACACACACACACACACACACACACACACACACACACACACACACACACACACACACACACACACACACACACACACACACACACACACACACACAAAGCAGACAGCTGTGCCCCGGCTAATTCACAGTTCACGCCAACGGCGACACCGCGGCCGGTTTTATTGGCCTCTCTCGTCTCGCCACCGCCGGCGTCCTCACCTTTAAGTGTTGCGGCGTGGAGAGGGTGGTGGGCTCCAACTCGCCATCCCCGTACTCAAACACCTCCTCCTCCTCCTCCTCCTCTTCCTCCTCATCATCATCTTCCTCATCCTCCAGCACCTTGTCCAAGTAACCCAGCACCTCCTCCTCCTCCTCCTCCATCTCCCCCCCCCCCCCCCCCTCCGGTCTGTTTCTGTTCTTCTTCTCCCTCTCTCTCCCTCTCTCCCTCCCTCTCTGAATGTTGTCCCCCACTAGCCTCGGCGGGCTATAATTGTTATTCTACGCCACCCTCGCCTCTTTCAAAGTCAGTCTACTCTGCACACATCAGCCGCTTTCACCCCTTCTCTCCGCGCCGCATCTAGACACGGATACGGACAGGGAACAGCACGCCTACTTAACCCCACCCCCTTCCTTCAGCTGGACTTCCTGGTCTGCGTTTATGCGTGTGTGTGTGTGTGTGTGTGTGTGTGTGTGTCAGTGTTCCGGCTCAAAGTCGATGTGGTCTGGCCTTTCTTTTCACCCCTCCTCCTCATCCACATGGTCCCCTCCCCTTGGCTGAAACAGGCTTGCAACACACACACACACACACACACACACACCATTTTTCAGCGACTTCCTCAATAGGGCTCTCTCTCAGCCTCTCTCTCTCTCTCTCTCTCTCTCTCTCTCTCTCTCTCCGCTACATTCACGCAGCTCTTGGCAAATCATTGTCCTGCTCACCAGACACTTCCTGGTTGAGCATATTTTTTTCTTTCCCTTTATTGATCTCCCCCCTCTCCCTTCCCCCCCCTCCCCCATCGGCCTCTGCCTAATCGATCTGCCCGGAGCCCCTAGCCGAGGCTAAGGCTGGGGCTGCTTTTGATTACCGGCCGAGGTTCAGTTTCCGCCACCAGCCGTTCGCAAGACCGCCACACAACACAGGCTGCACACTTTAATGTGACAGACAGCTCTCACTCTCTCATGCTAAATGAAAGGGGGAAGGGATGGCGGCAGGGCAATCTGTGTCGTGGCACTTTCTCAGAGATAGAGATATTGCGTCTAGGACAGATTGCCAAATGTTACAGTAACACACAATGGCTGTAGGAGTATAAAAGGATTTAACGTATGCATACAAGAGACCCCTCTCTATATGTATTTTACATACTATTTTTATAGAGATCAGATTAACATATCGAGTCGTTTATCTGTGGAATTGAGTGCGTCACCGTTTTCCTTCTTTAACAGACAGATCGCGAATCAATATCCCACGACACTACAATGGTATGAGTTAGGAACCGGTCGTCGACGCGACCCATTCAAAAGGAAATGCCCAAGTGAGGGATCGATCGGGACGTATTGTACTGCTGGGAGGGTCGTCCCGGTCTGAAACATCTGACCCCATCTGATTTTTCCACCACATCTGAAAACTATGCTATTCTAAATATAGAGATGTAAATAAAGATAAAAATAAACCCGCCATCCTTCCCAAACAAAATACAACA